GGCCATGGGCTGGGAGGGGTGTGGGGGAGACACTGACCCTTCGCATCTGCTCCCGCAACTGCTCCTGCATTGACTCGGGGCACTTATCAAGGTGGCTCTTCGACTCATGGTAAAGCGCCCGGAGTTGCTCTAGCTCCTTCCTTTCAGCATCAACCTTTGCCCTTTCCTGAATCGGGGGAGAACGAGAGAAAACAAAAAAAAAAAAAAAAAGAAAGAAGAAGGGAAGGAAAAAAAAAAGAGAGAGAAAACACACTTCTCAAATCCGTGCCATGCAGAAGCTGCAGAGTTAGGGAGAGGCTCAGCTGGAAAAAGAGTGGGCTCGCAGGGAGGAGGATCACGGCATCTACCGAGGGGTCCAGAGAGCAACAGCCGTGGGGACCCAGGCTGGGCGGTTTTAGAGGGGTTATAGACAGCCCTCACCCTCAGCCTCACGTTTCCATGCCGAAAGCCCACTTACAGGCAGCGAAAAGATCGATGCTGACAGCCCGGATAAAGTCACCCCGATCCTGCAAACGGCTGCACCACGCGCACCTTCTGAACAACTGCTAACTAGCTTTGTTAATCGATGCCCACCACCTGGGACACTGCCCACTGAGCACGGCAGGTCCCGTACGCAGGCTGAGGGACCACAGACCCCCCCCATCCATTGGAAGGGGAGGGCTGCCTGCGGGACGGCAGTGAAAACAGGAGACTGAGGTCCAACCCTGCTGCCGGAGCTGCTCAGGCTGCACTGAGTTAGGGGCAGACGCTTGCTCCTGGCTCGGGGAGGAGGGGAAGCGTCCCCAGTCCTCCCTCCCATGGCCGCAGGAGCAGCATGGCGGAGGCTGGGGACACGCCTGGCAGCACCGCAACGGGGCTAGGTTCTGGGAAACCACACTGTGAGAAACCCCGCTCCACACCGCGGCAGCGCAGAGACACGGGGATCCATGCCAAGGGACACGTGGGGACACGCTGGGGGGGACAGGGCTGTCGCAGACAGCTGCCCCAGGACAGGGGCTGCAGGGTGCCTCGGGGGCTCCCAGGCATGCAGAGACGTCAGGGGTGATGGCAGACTTTGGAGCAGGCACCGTTAGTGAGCAGGTGCGAGCGGGTTAGGAAAGCGGATGGTTAGGTCAGCAGAGAGGTTGGGAGGGGGATTTCCCTGTGCTTCTCTCCTGGCTCTGCACCAGGCCACCCCTGCCTAGAGAAGACACCTGCGAAGGGCTAGAAGGCCAAAACCAGAACAAAGACCCCAAACGCCACCGACGGCAGCTCTGCAAGGCCACGGACAACTGAACAGCCCAGGCCCCTCCAGCCACGGGGCCAGCTAGACCCCAGGGAC